TTTTTTTTTTAAGAAAACAATCAGTTAGTAAATAAATAGAGTGTAAGTCTAAAAGGGGCAATTTTTTTAATTAAAGAATAGAATTAGAATATAGAGTGCTAGAGTTAGAGGGTCAAATAAAGATGGAAGAGATGTCTTTTTAGCCGATGGCTTGAAGATGGCTAAGGACTCAGCTGCCCGGACTGAGTTGGGCAGGTCATTCCACCAGGAGGGAACATTTAATTTAAATGTCCGTAAACGTGATTTTGTGCTTCTTTGGGAAGGCACAATAAAGCGACGTTCACTTGCAGAACGCAAGCTTCTAGAGGGCACATAAGTCTGGAGTAATGAATTTAGGTAAAGGGGTGCAGAGCCAGTGGTGGTTTTGTAGGCAAACATTAATGCCTTGAATTTTATGCGAGCAGCTATCAGGAGGGTCTGGTGGTTAACCGTGTCAAAAGCAGCAGACAGATCCAGCAAGATAAGTATTGAAGATTTTGAATCCGCTCTTGCCAGTCTTAGGGCTTCAACAACTGAGAGCAAGGCAGTCTCGGTTGAATGTCCACTTCTTTTTGAAGTCGTCATTGGATTGGTTGAATTATATAGGATTTCTGGGAGATGTGTGTGTCGCGTTCTTTAATGTTCCACCTGGAAACAAAGATGCTGCGATGCCAAACCCCCTCATGAAAGAAGAAATCCGTCGTGTTTACAACTGTGATGATGAGCACTTATCAGGATCAACTAAACGCTGGATTTGAAAATATTTGTATGTGAAAAATTTCACTCAAAATGAAAATTCTGGCGTCTTTTTTATATTTCACCTTATACGTTGGTCCAAGTCTGTATGAAGGTGAACTATCCCTTCAAAACTGTCAAGAGAGTTTTGACAAGGCACTGAAACACTGAAAATACTTTCAACACCATAAATGAATGTGAAAGTTTATGCAGGTTAGTTAGCCTTTATCATCACCTTTAAGAGTCATCACATCCTTGGTCACTGATATCAAGAGCTTTACTATAATCATACAGAATTAGTTGAGAGCTATGACTTACTTTAAGTAGACTCATTAAAGTGCTTCTGCTGCTCTCTTTTGCACTGAAGTGTGAAGCCTGACGTATCGTATACCAGCGAAGTGCAGTCTGATTAATTGCTGAAGTGAAATACAATGTCAGATTGCATAAGATGAGTGAAAAGGGGCAAAGGAGAGAGCATAGAAAATATGAAGGAGAAAATGAAAAAATGTGAAGATGAAAGGAAATGGAAAAGGTAAAGAAAGTTTGATTTCATATTCACATATCCTCGCATAACCTGACAAATGATGTAGAATCAGCATGTCTGTGGACTGATTTCAGCGATGGACATGGGCGGCTTATTTTAGGGTTCATTTCCAACTGTCTGGGAACCATCCATAAATATTACAAAAATCTAAACTTGATTTGACTCTATGCATAATGGAAAAGTTTTTTTTTTCATTCAAAACAGAATAGCAATTGGTCTACATAAATATTTATAACAGAAAAAAAAGACTAAAACCAATGAGCCGCTGGTAAAATGCAGATAAATGCACTGTAACTGCACATTCTACAGTATGTTAATGCATGCTGATACTTTGCCTTGCAACCATAAACAGCTTACAGTTAAGGCTTGTTCACACCAAGAACAATAACTATATTGATAACTTTATCAGCGACAACACCACCAGCGTTTTGTTGTCTGCTGCCTTAAATGCTCAAGCTCTTTAAACTCAGGTGGATTCTGATTGGCTGTCAGTGTTGTCATTATAGTTGTTGTCATGCCATATAGAACCATGCCAAGTCATTAGCAGATTGTGCAAACAACACCCAATGAGGCATTGCGTCACTCGTGTCTCAAAAGAAAAGCATCCATGCCATCACAGCTAAGATTTAATAGGAGGAAAGCAGAGCAGAGCTGTGTAGTATGACTGGCCATACAGAATCTCTTTGCCTATTCAGGGATCCAAGGTTACATACTGTACATAAACAATATGTTCACTGACCA